TCGTGCCCCACGTTGGGCGCCAAAAAGAACTGTCGTGGTTTAAACCCAGTCAGGTAACTTGTTCGCTCACTCCCAGTGAGTGGTGCCGAGCTGACAACAATCAAGGTCCGTGTCCGTCTCCCCCCCCCCTGCACCGGGGCTCTCCCCTTCCCCGCTCCCGGAGGAATGGGGAGGAGGATCGAGAGAGTGCAACTCCTACGGGTTGAGACAAGAACAGTCCAGCAACAAATCACCACCGCTACTATCAGCTAAAACAATGATAAGGGAAAATAACAAGGGAAGATAATACGATACCACCGGCCAAGAAAGCGAGTTCCACCCGGAAGCTCCTGTCCTTCCGGGTAACTCCCAGTTACCCCCCCACCCCGGGCATGACGTGCTGTGGTATGGAATACCTCCCCGGCTAGCCCGGGTCAGGCGCCCCGTCTCTGCTTCCTCACAGCTTCCCCTCCTCCCTGGCAGAGCATGAGCCTCACAGAGTCCTTGGTCAGGGTAAACATCACTTAGCAACAACCGACAACATCGGCTTCACCAACGCTGTTCTCAAACTAGAAGTCAAAACACAGCACTGCACCAGTTAACACAAAGGAAAAAACATGACTGCTACTGCTGAACCCAGGACAGCTATGCTGGTCTGTACACCCATACCTGTCTGTGAAAGACATCATCAACATTTATTTTGCAGCACCAGGTTTAAGTGGAAGCACCGTGTATGTATTTCATGATCCCTGCACCTTGTGTAGCTCTTCTCTGCAATGCCGCTGGTAGAAACATTGATACAGCTGTAGATATAGGTACATCTGTATCTTATTAGCATCTCTGCATTTCTGCATGGCATCCCTCTGTAGTCCTTGGTACTATATCAAAGCCACTAATGGCTAATCATTTAAAGAACTTCTTGCTGAAATCTCTTTGCTTCCAACCTACTATAGACTTACTTGCAGAATAACTACTATAGGCTTTGGCTTTCATTGTCAGGAATAGAATTTCCCTCCCTGCAGAGATGGATGCCTATCATGTATCCTTAAATTTAATCTGGGGTTAAAAAATGATCCAGCAACCACTCACTCATGCTAATGAGCTTGGTCCCAGGTTCCTGGCTGTAACTTCCTTACATATAGGGGCTCTGGGGAAGAACCTTTTAGACCTTCCCACCATCCCGAGGCACCAGAGAGCTTCCACCACAAGGAAATGTGTAAAGGCTAATGCAAAACTTCTCATTTTAATGAGAATGTGTGGGAAGAACTTGCACAGCATGGCAAAGATGAAGCTCATTAGCTAAAGAACCAAAATAATCTCTTCTAATGATTCTTATTTTCTTAATGTTCTTCCTTGATCACCTTCTGTATTCTTCTCCCAGCCAAATAAGGGCTAGGAGGAATAAGAGCCCTTTAAGAAATACTGGTATCAAAGAAATTTGTTTATGTTTTGTGGCTGAATAAAATACTGCATTATCCTGAACTGTGTTGAGCTATCAATCCCTAAAAGGCATTTTATCAGTTTAAGCTCTTCTAGGATTTCTCCATTTCATCCAGGAAGAGGTGTCAGTCACAAAGAGGACAAGTTGCCTAGGGAAGTTTGTGTGATGTAGCTGCAAATCTCCAAAAGGTTATTCTAATGGGTCTCATGAGTTCCATCCCGATTTTGTTCTTTACCGTGCAGTTGTTCTGCTTTCCTGTGAGCATGTGCAAAGAAGTCTTTAATGAGAAAGAAAGCCTAATCACTGGGATAACAGCCATGTTTTGGTCTCCCTTTTTAAGACCACCAGAATTTAATATGCAAGGAAGATGTATTTAATAATGGGTATTATTAATTATTAAATTATTAAAGTCAGTCAGAATAGGATTTTCTCAACTAGCCACTAAAGCTTACTTGTTCTAGTGAGGAAATATTTCTCCATGGAAAGAGAACAAGATTGCTTCTAAAAAGAAGTAATGAGATGGTACATGGCCATTAATGCATGGAATTGTATTCATAAGGTGTCCATCATGTCCACTAACACCAGCATGTATTTTCTGGATCTGTTCTGATAAATTGAGCTTCTGAAAATTCCCTGCAGTGTTTCAGGAGTAAATGATTATATGTAGGTTATTTGTCCATGCCACTGAAATTGTATTACCAGCGATGGATTGGTGTGTCAGGGTGCATCATACATAAATGATTTTTAGAGTGAGCAGCCTTCATCTAGAATGTGTCAAGTCCCATTGTATGTGGGGAATAGGGGAATATCTGAACAGGTTCTTTTGTGGTCATCCAGTGTTTGGGTACAGAGCTCAGGGAAAGAAGTTCATTGGTTGTGTTACTGGGTGCCTGCTACTTTGCAAGTAACAGGTGAAAATGGGCTCTCTGTTTTGAAGATTTTGCCTAGTCACTCACACCCAGCTCTAGACCCGTGCTTTAGCACTGGTCCCTTGAAATGCATGGTTCTACTCAAGCACAGTTTGGCTTGTTGTCTTGTGGGTTGGCTTGTAATCTGAAGTGACTTCTCTCTTTGCATGCTAAAAATACTCATGGCCTTAAGGTATGCAGGTGTTCTGGGCACTGTTTTCAAGCAGGTAGTTTGTGCTATAACCCACATCTCTTGAGTTACAGCTGTCCTGAGGGTTGAGGTATCTCTTTAGCACTGGCAGCAAGCAGCTGGGGTTTCTTCTGATAAAGCTTGGTCTTTACATGTTAATGTAACAGAATAACATTATAACTCTGCACCGTGATTTGATTTGTAGAAAATCTTTATCCTTTTACACTTACGGCCCTTTCCCCTCTTCCTGCTGAGATCTGTTTCTGACCTATATGGTTTCTATTTCTATTTTCCTGCTCCCTTAAAAAATGTTGTGACTCATAACGTTAACGAGAAGGAAACATCCAGGAGCTATTTCTCTGACAACCAGTTTATGTTAATTGGCTATTGTTTGTTGGGGAAAAAAATCTCCAATTAGCCTCTAAAAGCTGGGCACCAAGCGAGATTTGACCTTTGTGTTTTAGGATGGCTATAACAGCTAAACTGTGTGACAAAATCTCAGTAGCAGTTTAATGTCTACTATTACCATGATGAGATGCAATTTCAAGAGAAAAGAATGGGGAACTGTATTTGCTACAGACAAGTTTTCTGAGACTGCATATGAACTGTCTGCTGATACACTTTGGCATATTAACCACATTGATAGCAAACCAATTTCACTTGATAGATTTAATGGGTATTATTCACTAAGCCACTCTTATTTGAGTATTTTCTGTTTCACATCTTGTGACTAGCTGCCTAGATCAATGGAAAATAATCACTGCTGCTTTATTTAATGTTTAAATAAAGCAAAGGTTTGAATAAAGCCACACATAATGCAGCAGCTTTTGGCTGGCAAAGTGGTATTGTTCAGAGGTGTCATGTTGTGCTATTCTGTCAACAAGTCCTTAAAAAGGACACACTTTCAGTGGCAGAAATGGGCTTTTATAACTCAGTTCTTCCATTTGTGTGTCATTCATTGGTGTGCCAGTATGAAACTGAACTCTAACACAAATACCCATCAGTATTTCGTTGTTATAAGAAATAGGGTTTTCTTTTTTCCTTTTTTTTTTTTATTTTTATTTTTTTATTCCTAGAAACAGTGGCTTAAAAATTTTCAATGTGTTTATAACTAATTTTTCTTCTGTGGCATTCTTGTGGCAGCAATATGGTCTTGGCACAGTGTTAAAATGCCCTTATTGAAAAAAGAAGAAATAAACAACTTGATAAAGGCAGGGTCATGGGAAAGAAGCTTATAAACCAAGCAGGTCTACTCTGAACCTCATGACTCAATGGGAGGCCCCCCTTACCCTTTCGTGCCCTTTGGCCTCTGTATCATTCGTTTTTAGCTTGATTTTTACCTCAATTTCCCTTTGTATGTTTCATCCATGCATTAAATACTAGAGTGAACCTTGCCATTGAATTCTCTTAAGTCATGCCTTTATGTATCAAATTATAACTGCTCCTGTGAGTACTTTTTATGGTCATTCTTTGAGCGACCCTTAGGCATCCATTTTGTGACAGAGTAAAATCTCAAAACCTGATAAAACTGTTTGGGCATGTGTAAATTCTGATGTGTGGAGCTTCTCTCAATGTGCCTATGCCTTGCTGAAATGAAGCAATTATACAAAAAAAAATATTATTGATTTTGCTAAGACTTTCTGTCATCTGGAATAAAGTTGGGCTCTTCATTTGACGTGTATGAACACAGTATTAAGGGAAAAGAAAGCACTTCACTAATGTGGGTATGCTTCCAGTCACCTGCCAACACTGAGAAACTGAGCCACTATTGTCACAACAACAGGTTTTCTTTCCTCTCTCGGATGCTCTAAAGCAATTACTGTGAAAAGTTGTCTTGGTAATGAGCACCATCCCTGTTTCAGAAATGGAGGAAATGAAATTACAGCCAAATCTAACCATGGGCAGAATACAAATGTCAAAAATGAGCAGAAAACTAGATGCGGTTATTGACAATTTCAGTTCCCTAACCAGAACAGTGCTTGTTCCTTGATCACATAATTTGGACCCCCTTGAATAAAGTTAATAAGTCTTGAATGAATTCTATAATATTGCCATCCTCTGCTTTTACTTCACGTGCTTGAAAATGAAACTGGTCTCCTACTGTTAACAGTCTGGGATGTGTTATCTTTAAGTGTTAAGTTGTTAGTGTCTTGGTTCCTGTCTTCATCTTCTGCCTTAAATACTTTGATAGGTATGTGGAGGTCAGAGTTTTCAATGTCAGCATCTTGGCAGGAGTCCTTTAGGGATGTGGGCTCATGTTAAGACCACTCCTCATCACCAGGGTGATGCTAATTTTCAGGCAGAAGCCTATCCAGATATTACTTCTGCAAAACAGAAAGAAACTAGTCATTATGATTGACTGTAAATCAGTATGGGGAATCAGAGTCATAGAATGGTTAGGGCTAGAAAGCACCTTAGAAAGGAATGTGATAACCTAATTCAGTGCATGAGATAACACTGTATTGTTTTCCCCATCTTTCAGAACTGCTTCAGCTGTGTATCTGCAATTGTTAGGTAGTACACGGTTTAGGATTTTCTCCTTATTTAAGCATATCTCACATCTCCACATACAAAGAAGTATGGTATTCATCTAGGACACTGAACTGGAAATGTACTTATCATGGGCTAATTGCTCACTCAATTTTTATTCCAGCAAGTTTTCTTCATACCCCTGTGCTGTACTTCACAGAAGTGATTAGGTAATAGGCTGGGCCCCTGGAGATCGTGATCTCTGTAGAAATCAAGAGAAAATAGGAAGGGAAGGGAACACAGGGGAGCAAAGAGGTTAATATTGGTCAGACTGATAGGGGGTGGTCTTATCAATAGGTGAACTGTTGTCTTTGCATATTAAGCCGCATGACGTTTATAATGAACAAATATTTTGGAAAAGGAAGAGTTATCATTTATGCAATCTGGCCTTTGTTTTTCCTTACCTCTGTGGAATTGTTTTCAAAAAACTTCTTAATAAACAGAAGAACCCATTGGAGCAGATTGCTGCAGATGGTTTTGCTTAGCAAGCTACATCTGTCTAAAGATTATACTATACTACTAGGTTGAACTTTACCCAGCTGATGTTCTGAGATGGGAGCCCACATATGATAATATTGAGATGCTGATATTAATAACAGTTAACAATATAAATACTAAGAATTGTATTAATTGAAAGTAAGAACCATGTTTTATTAGCTTACAAGAGGCTGTGATCACTGAACTTGGTGTATTAGGTCAAGTCTTGGTTCCTTGCCCCAGCATCTCTCTGTCTAAACACACAGTGTCAGTCCAGCACTGCAGGTGGTCCCTGAGAACAATTTTAAAATCAGTGATTTTAAGTATGCGTCAGAGTGGTAAACTTGAAAATTTAGTCTCAAACATGGGTGTTTGTTAAGGGCTTTTGAAAATCTATATGCTGTCTAGCATTACTCCCCTGGACAGATCTATCTAAAAAAATAACTTTAGCCTGTTGGCTTATTTTAAAAGCAGAGAGACGTAGAAAGGGTTAAGAGAAATAGATGAAATAGTTCCTTAACTACATTGGGCATGAAGAGCCTTTCCAGGCAAGTTGAGCTGATAGGCAGACTCCAAGGACTCTTCAACACCTGCAGGTTGCTGGTCTACTGGGAAATGGTACTTAAGCAGTTACTGTCATCATAAGCACAAACTAAAAAATCACACTTTTGTGAAGATAGCCTTGAGGCCCAATGTTTCTGATGTTGCAACAACTTTTCACTATAAGAGAAAAAATAATACAGGATGACTCTAAGGATTTGAGTTGCCTGTGTTTTTTATTCCACTCACAGACTATGGGGCGTTATCAGATGTAAAAAAGCAGTTGTCGTTCAGTGAATTAAAATCTTACATTGAAAGAAATGAATAGTAAATGCTATGACCCGATTGGTTACGGACATGTGCGGTAACCAATATAATCACAGGTGTTGGCTGATACTGCAGTGTGCAGTAACAGCCCATTAAGAAAGACAAAATACTATTTGAGCAATACATTTCCTTGAGTCATCTTCCCCTGCAGAGATGTTCAGAAATCTCCTGAGCAGTTGGCTGTAGATGTTCAGCAGAGATGGTGTTTGTCTGTGTGTGCCTTCTCTGCTGTTTTCTGTAAAGACCTGTAGTTTCATTTGGACACCAAAGGCTTGTTTAATGGTGTTTCAGAAACATAAGCAGCTGGAGGGCAGATGCTCTTTCCTGTTTCTATCAATTTTCCAAGAACTGTAGCTCCACCTGAAAGCATATAATTGAGCTTCTGATAATCTCTGCATCTTTTTATTCCCAGCTTTAAGAACAGTGTTTCAGCAAGGGAGGAGCCATTCAAATGGCTCTCTTTGAGCCCTTTCAGTAGGGGGTATATTGTTTCTGTCACAATGGGCAAATCTGGAATTGTAGAAGATTATTTGATGACATTGAACTGGAGAGGATTAGTCAATTCCAGTCAACTAATTTGCTTAATTTTTTCCAACATTAGTCTCCACTTTGGAAAAATGGTTCTTTACATGGGTATTTTAAACCAGTGGAAAAAAAAATTGATATATTGTTATTGTTTGATGTATTCCAGAAAAGAGTGGGTAGCTTAGCTGACGAGCTCCACTGTAGCCAGGAAAGTACTGTTTGATAGCAAAGCAATTATCTCACAGAAAAGTGGTATGGTAGCTTCAGAGTCCATGGAGACTAGTAAAAATGTGATGCCCAGCCTTGCCTGTCATGTGGAGATATTTCCAGGCTAAAGACCTCTAATTCATGGATGCTTTAGGGAGAATTCCTGACCATATCAACGTTTTTCAAATTAAAAACTTTAAAAATTTTGAAGCAAAAATCCCCACCAAGCAGTTTTTCAGATTAAATTATTCACATTTAGGGCTGCTGGTGCTGAGGTTTCTTTTCATCATCATCATCTTCAGCTCCTGATTCATTCTTCATGCAAGGAATGCATAACATTTTGAAAAGGGTGAGTGCCTTTGCAGGTTATATCACCCTGGATGTGTTTTTGCAGGTTATATCACCCTGGATGTGTTTTTGAGGTGCTGTGTATCCTATATAATCCTTGGGTAGATTTCAGCAGGGAACAGTGCTTCCATTAGATAGAGCTCCTTTTTTATGGTGTATGGATGTCACTATTCCTTTGTTTTCAGGAAACAGGTAACTGAAATAGAATCTTGGCCCACCGTTTAATGGTCTCTAATCATGTGTTCTCATCCTGAACATTGCAACATCAATCAGATAAAAAATTAAAATCACTTTTCCCCTGAGCAGTAAATGAGTGCCATGGAGGTGGATGGATCAATACAGATTTAAATGCATGACTGACATGGAAATTTTAGGGAGAAGCATCATGGGTCTCAGAGTATTGCCAATGCCAGTGGCAGCCTCAATTCACAAATGAGGAAGTCCTATATTCCACTTTTAAAAAAGAAAAAAAACCCATAGCTGAGAACAAGTAATAGCTGAATCATGGAAACCTCTATGGCTGCAGGGTGAACAACAGCTAAAATGTGTGTTTGACTACATGATCGCTACTTTATAAAGGGTTCTGTTGAGACAATGACTGCAAGAGGAGGTTAAATTGTTGTGTTAGACTGAGCTGGCTGATTGATTAGCAATTAGAGATCTCTATTGATGAGGAGTCTGAAAAAAGACAGACTCAGCTTTGTTGCATTAGCAACCTGCATGTGAGATGGTACTTGAATCTTGATGCTCTGTCAGCAGGGTGCCAACAGTAGGTATCAGTGTGCCAAAAGTAATTGGTGAGATAGGTCAGTGTAGCAGAGACAGAGTAATTGTCATCTCAAGTTTCCCAGAATATGCTTTCATGGTTTATTGCTGTCCAGAAACATCCAAGATCAAATGATTTAGGTGACCATTTGGAGCAAGAAAAGGCTCAGGTGAGCAGGAAGACAGAAGTAAGAAGGGATTAAGGCATTATGCTGAACAGCCCCAAAACCCCTGTTCCTCTTTGTAATGGTGATGTGCAAAACTTCAAAACAGTGCTGAGAACAGTTGATGACTTTACTTTTTGTGCCTAGTAAGTATTTATTAGTTTGTCTGAGAGAAACTATGTTTGGCATACACCAGAAGTGTTGTAAGACGAGCTTAAACTGAGCTTCATAATAAGCAAAAAAGAAGGAGCTTATAGCACATTATGTATAGCTTTGAGCACATTAATATATATAAATGTGTAACTAGAGAGACATCTATGATGTCAGATACTATCTGGATATTGAAACATGCTAGGCTTTGAAACTGGTACTAAAAATGGCAGTATTTTTTTTCACTCCTTGTATGTAAATGTTTACGGTGCACTTCATTGTGGAAATTACATATTTTTAGGAGAACATTTTCTGATTTATCCTAATTCATACATTATTTTATAAGGCTAAGAGAACAGAAAAGTCCTACTGGAAGACATGTTTGTGCCTGAATGGACCAAGAATAAATCATGTTCATGTGGTTCTACCTTGATTATCCAATATGTGATTTACTGGAAAGATTTGCACCAACTTTAATGGGTCCGAACCATAGAGTATATCCCTTGAATTGTTCTGAGCATTTTAATTGCCATTTGATGTCTGTAATTATCAAGTATCTTCCAAAAATGGTCTTTTAATTTTAGTATCTCTGTAAGGAAAGTAGGGAGAATGTTAAAAGTATCATAATAATTAATGCTTGGCAGCATTTATCTGAAGATGAGAGTGAAATATTTCATCTATGGAAATAGCGTTGATCTACCCTTGCCTAATGTTATTACTTCTCCTTTGCTGACAGATTCTTGTGGTTTCAGTACCGTAAATGTGCATGCTTTGAGTTATGCCCAAGGCTCTCTGATGAGGAATGCGAACTGCTAGTACATGTAGTCAAGTGCTCTCTTAGCACTTTGTTGTGGTTTAACACCAGCCAGACAACTCTTTCACTCACTTCCCCCCCTTCTTGCCCTCCCCCTACTCCCGGAGGGACCTAGAGGAGAATTGAAAAGAATGCAACTCCCACGGGTTGAGATAAGAACAGTTTAGTAACTAAGGTATAACACAAATCACTGCTGCTACCACCAATGATAATAATGATAAAGGAAATAACAAGGGAAGAGAATAGAACACCTCAGCACCAGCCAACCGATAATTCACCCCCCAGCCCGACCAAGCACCGACCGATACCTACTCCAGCCCTGCAGTCTCCCAGCCCTTCCGGGTAACTCCCAGTTACATCCTGGGCATGACGTGCTGTGGTATGGAATACCTCTTTGGTCAGTTTGGGTCAGGTGTCCTGTCTCTGCTTCCTCCCGGCTTCCCCTCCTCCCTAGCAGAGCATGAGGCTCACAAAGTCCTTAGCCAAACCAAAACATCATTGTTTTCAGCTCTGTTTCCGAGCTGAAAGTCAAAACACAGCACTGCACCAGCTACTAAGATGGAGAAAAAATGACTGCTACTGCTGAACCCAGGACACACTTAAAAGACAATTTTTCTACAACAAGCTGGGGATTGTCAATGGTGGGACTTTTGGTTTAAAAATTCAGTGTGAAGCAGATGAGAATTCTCACAGGTGAATTTAAGAACTTATGTCTGTTGTAGAAGTTATCTTTAAATAGAAGTGGGTAGGCTTATCCTCATCAGATTTTTTTTTTTATTATAGGCTTTATAAAAGGGAACCTCATGTAGCTTCTATAGATTCCAATATCTAATGTTAGATTTATAATTTCAGAGCTAAAGTTTCTGAAAGATTCTCAGAAACTTAGCTTGGATTCAGATTTGGAATCTTTTGGTGTTTCAGATCCTAAAAATTTAGGGTATTTTCATTTAGCAATTACAGGCACTTTACTGTCCTCTTGAATAGTGTTGCCTGTACTTGGTATAAGGACAAGATTTCAGTAACTAAAAAAATCATTTTTTAGAGTTTCTCCATATTTACCTTAGAGTAACTGAGAAAATTAAGTTTCACAAACCAAATTCTAAGTGGAAAAAAATACTGAGGGTCCAATCAGAAGCTGTAGATTCTATCAGAAGCCTGTTCACAACTAACCTATATCTAGTAATTATCATGTAAACTTTTTAGCTAATCACAGTTTAATGAAATTTATTTGCACAATGATGCTATAAATAAGGACTTCATGTAAACCTAAACTTAAACTGAGTCTCAT